AAAAAGGTCGTAGTTTAGTTCAGAATTTTCTGTTTTTTTTTTCTTATGTTGACCAAAGAAAAAAAATATGATGTTCAAGGTTCAAATACTTAATATTAAAAAAAACAAAAAATTCTCTATCGAATATCAATTTAGTTTAGTTAATAATTAATATCGAAAATATTATTGACACAAATAATTTTATATTTTGAATTATGAATAAATTCTTACTAAATGTTTATCTTTTAATTGTTGAATAAATCGAACATTTTTTTCATAGATTTCTATAATACGTTTAAAAATGTTTAAATTTAATTCACATATATTAATTTTTGAATAAAAATCAAATTGAATTTCTTCTTGTTTTTGTTCTTCTTCTTTTTCATGAATTGGAATAAGTAATTTTAATCGAGACCATTCAAATTCAATTTGATCAAATTCATTTTTAATTAATTTTTTTTTTTTATTTTTAAATAATTGATTTGGTATTATATCAAATGAACTAAATTGCATAAGAACTAATGCACATATATGTGTATATTCAGGTGAATAAGATGAAAAAAATATTGATAAATCATGTTCATTATTACGATATAAAGATATTAAATCAGGTAGTAATTTATTAATTAATTTATTTTCATCATCTAATGAATATTGATTATTTAGATAAAGTGTTAAATAATGAAATATATATTTAAGTGAAGTTATTGATGAACATGAACATAAATTTGAAAAAGATAAATTTTTATTTGAAAGCATTTCTATTACATATGATTCACATATTGAAATATGAATTAAGGGTTGAATTAATATAATTAAATCAGATGTTAATTGACAATATGATGTATGAGTTAGAAGAAGATAAAGACAACGAAGAGCATTCTCTAAGAGTGATGGTCTAAAATAAAAGATTATTTATTAGGAGATTTTTTTTTTGTTATTGATTGTAAAAGAATTTTGATCTAGGATAAAAAAAAACAAGGACATATCCACTCATGCATAACATAGTTCCACTCAATTTGAAGACAATCAAAGCTTTGAAGAATGAAACTTCATATTCATTCATTACTTATCAACAGATACAGAATACTCAATGATCTATTCTATATGCAGTTTAACAATACAGATCACGGTAATCGATATTTTTTTAGGGGCGAGAAGGGTTAAAAATTCGTCAAAAAGTGCTTTCATTTTCGGAGTACTAGAAGCACTGACCGGAGAGAAGTGATGAAAGAATGAAACCTACTGTGATTCGATCTCGCTGACAATAGACGATCTGCTCTTTATTCGGTGGTTAACTCGAAACGGATTTTCATCGTTTTTTTTGTTTATATATCTTAGGTTTCTTAGCTGTTTTGCATGTTATAACACTCGGAAAGAACTTAAATTAAAGATAAAATTGTGATTCACATCTTGATAGAGTCTAACTTTTCATTTTCAATTTACTTTTTGGGCAAAATGAATTGTTTTCCATCGAGGATACCTCTAATTTCCCAAAACTTTATTAGAAAAACTGGCGTCAAAACTCAACCAAATTAATGTTCTCAAAATTCGACCACGCTAAATTGCATCTCTTTAAAAGTTAAGCTGCTTTTCATAGTTATCATTCAATATCAACTAAAATCACATTGTGTTCTATAGAACATCTTACAATCTTGTAGAAAAATATTTACCTTCGTTCATCAGTTAAAAATCGTTTAATTACATTCATATAATAATCACAATCTGTTGAAGATAATATCATATTTCGTTCAAGTTGTAATGAAACTATTTGAAAACTGATTAAAATAAAAATTTTTACAAATAAAATAATTTCATCAAAATAAAATCCTTTTTTTTTTTTACCCAACAGCTTGATGATAAGGATCAATTGATTGAAATAAATTTTGAAATGATTTCATTTGTAAATCAATAGTTGTTGATATCGACATTGAATGTTCATAACGTGCTCGTTTTGAACTAGGTTCAAATAAATCATTATTATTATTATCATCAATATCCATTAATTCATTTTTAATTAAAAGTTTATCTAAAGAAAGCTTAATATAAAATAAAATAAAATTTATTTTTACAAATAAAAATAATTTTTGAAAATTCTACCTGATAAAATACACTACTTGCTAAATGAAGTAAATCAAAACGAATTATAAATTCATTTTGATTTTGTCGATTATTTGAACGTTGTTTATGACAAATTTCATCAATTTCTCTCAAAAGTAAATCATTTATATCTCGAAGATTTTTCTAATTTAAAAAAAATTAAAAAGAAGATAATATTTAATTTCTTAAAATAAAATTTACCATCCAAATATCATCACATATTTCTAAAATAGTTTTTTTATGATAAGGATGATGAAGACTCATTTGTAAACGAATAAATTTAATAATTTCTGTCTAAAATAAAACAAAAAATTTAATCAATAAATTATTGGTTTTTTTTTTTTTGAAATTTTACTTTTGGCTTATCACTACATTTTCGTCTCCAAATATCAATTAATGATGGTAAAAGTTCATTACCCAAATGATAAACTTCATCAGGCATATCAAATAAATATTTAAATGACAAAGAATTAAGTGACCAAAGTAAATTTTCAATAACAGAAAAATGATTAGAATTTCTAAATATTAAAAATAGAATTTTGTTTATCTTTTTTCTTTTCTTCATTGAATACAAACTTTAATTGTTCAATTTCAATTTGAAAAAAATTAAATAAATCTTTTCGAATAGTTGTTTTATTTGAATCTATATCATTATAAACAACTAATTTTTCTATAAGAAATTTTAAATATGAACTATAAAGTGCTTGATCACTTTCATGAAATGATTTATTTTGATTTTTTGATAATGACATATATAATTCACATAAACCTAATTAAAAATAAAACGAGATACTAATATATATATATATATA